CATTTTTAGATATTTTCTTAAGATATAATTTAAAAAAAGCGAGAACAATCGATTTAATCAGGTACATTTTCGAATTGTTTCCAATTATGACTCATATTCTTATTCTAGATGACATCCAATAATAAACCATTAAACAAAATGTTGATCTACTTTTGGGCCAACTTCTATGTACCGCATTTCATGGCTATTTTATCTTTGAAGTACGTTTGGAAAATTTGCTCGAGTATTTTAATTTTACCTAACCCTTTCGATCAACCTTTTTTAATTTTAAATCTACATACTTGAGGGTGTCGAAAATGTGTCGGACTTGATTTGTAGTCATTTCTGAAGTATATCGTCCAAGAAATTTTCTGCACCTCATCATACCGAAAATTTTTCATAAAATTCTTTATATCTGATATATTTTAAACATATGTTTTAGTGGTGGGGTAAAATTAACTCGGTCATATGCAATAGACAGCTAGTATGACTTCCGGAATTAACAACTGATGTTATAAATTTTTTTCTTTGGACTAATATATATATATATATATATATATAATGTGTGCGATGAGAACGAAAGTAATATATAAATTCCAACGTTCACAGCATTAATCCAAAAGAGGGCTCGATACCAATAGTAGAGCGATAATTATTTATTATAATTTTATCATATAGACAAAATCTTTTTACTCGCTACAAAGATGCAACTTGATTTCAGTGCAAAAAATTGTTATGAACAATTGTTCATAACCATTTTCGATTATCATCCGTCGAAGTGCAGTTTAAATGCACTGAAAAGTTGCATCTTTGTAGTGAGTAAAATGGTTTTGTCTGTATGATAAAATTATATAATTTAATATTAAGATCGAAAGGGTTAATTTTATGTGTATTTCTTTTATTTTCTTCCTAAATTTTGGAATAAAAAAATTGGGATTCGTCTTTGAGGCAAGAGCCTCCTCGACGCCAGGGAATACGGTATTTACTTCACTGTGTATTTGTCTATCTATTTGCGTTAGGAATTTGTTTTTCACAAAATTCAACTGTTATTTATATTCATTATACATAAAATATGCTGTAAAACGATATATTTTCGCAGCAGTTAAAATATACTGTCACTGCTCTTGATAACTTAAGTTTAATATATATATATATATATATATATATATATAATTTTATTCTGCCGCAGTTGTGAGAATAGAAACTAATAAGGTTATTCTTGTTGGTAGATTTTCTGTAAACCTACAACTGAAAGTCATTTTTAGTTCCATGTACCCTATCTAAAAGTAAAGTGTTGTTAGCCTCAGCTGCAGCTCCCCCTTTCTCATATCTTCAATAAATTAAGAAAAGTTCAAACGATTTATCTGGTTAGCTAACTAAATGGTTTCGCGTCGAAATGCTCATCAGGACCATATGTTTGATAATTTTTTTTAACTTATCAGATCCCATATTTATACTTTTTTCTGAGTGAACGAACGCTAATTCTAACTTTGAAATTCTTGATGTGAAACCATTGATCGGCCTAATGAGATAAGTCACTGTAACTTTTCTTAATTTATTATTAAATATTATAGCTTTCGTTATCTATTGAGCGATTTTTAGAATTCCTGTCAATTTGAAGAACACGTGGAATTCTCTGAATTTTTACGTATTTCCTCACTTTTATATATAATATATATATATATATAATTTCCTTCCATCCAGAGACTATGCAAATATGATAGTGTAGAAATAGGTGGGCCTGCGGTATTTCATGTTCTAGTCTTATAAGTATTTACTAAATATAGTATATATTATAGCACGAAGCGAAATATGATTGAAGTTTGTATTGCACCAATATCAAGAATCAGCCCGCTTTGAAAATCAGCAATACAAATTCTGGCATTTAATTGAACTCGAACACTTACTGTTGGTGTCTTAACCTATTAACTGAGATTATATCTTTAAAGAAGGCTTTTTTCTTTTTGTTATTTCATTTATTTTTGTAGACATCTATTTAATTAATTCCATGTAGTTTTAAGAGATCTGTATAATTTTTGAGTCGGAATTCTAGAAATCTTTATCAAACGAATTCTACAAAGGTTCAATAACAAGCATCAAGGACTTCAAAAAAGTTATGAAGGAACTTAGAGCCTAAGTAAGATATTCAATTTAATAATTGTTGCCATATATATAAAATTTGACAAATCTCTAAGTAAAGATGTTGGGATTTTATAAAATAGGATTAAAGAATTTAAGATAATTTTGTAAAAGAGAATGTGGTAATGTCTAATTGAAAAATATAGCTTCAATCATGTTTAGCTGTCTACATCTAATGACAGCTTAGTACAACATAAGGTCAAATATCATAGTGGTATTAGGAAGATTATTTTGAGCAAAATTTCCCAACAGAAAGAGTCTTCCCCCAATGTTTATTAAGCATGGTTTAATATGACATAAAGCCAAAATGGTTGGAGGATACTGTTTAGGAAGATGATGCTGCGCGAATCTTTTAAGTAGCGAGAGCTTTTTATCCAAATATGTCAGTATTTGAAATGCTTGCTTATTTCTAAGCGAAAACAACAATGTCTAGCAGGAGTGGGATATACGTAACCATCTATCCACAAGGTACACTCGCATTTGATTATAATGTATTTATTTGTATCCATTCGGAAGCATAAACACAGACTTTAGAACTTTGCAAACTTTTAATCTCTAAATATGTTATGAAAAGACATATCAATATTTGGTGCAAAACAAAGTGGAATAATATATTTGTTTTATTTTCCCATAGGTTACTTGGTCATAGTTTCAATGTATAGTTCATATTTTAATTTAAATAACATGTTAGCATAAGATACCATGCAGGAATCTCTCACTAATTTATATCTCTACCAATTTTATATACAATTGAATTGATGTAGGTAAATCGGATACTGACTGATAATCAGACAAGTATAGAGGAAGTTTAAGTATATTTGGGGAGACATTTTTACCAGATCCCTCGTGATAAACACCAGACATCTGATGTGAATAGGTAAGATTGCATCAAATATAAGGATTATTATCATAATGTAAGTGAGTGTAATAAATAAATTTGACCAATCTGTTGGGCACTGTGAGGATAGTGAGGAAGATGTTAGAGATTTAAATTTTTACTTACTCAGTTTCTAGCAGAACCACCTTAATTTTAGCAGAAGCATCTACAATTCCGTTATTTTGTATAACCAAGTCTAAAGCCAGTACAAATATTACTATTGCCAGTATACAGTCTTTCACTTTCCTCGTTTTTCTTTTTTTTAAATAATAAATGTAATGATTACTGATTCTGATAATTTTATTTTATGCCATCAAATATCTACCTGTTGGATTTCAGGTGATGGTCTTGACAACAGTATTGGTTCAGGTGAAGGAACTGCAGATGAAGATTCCGAAGACCGTAATCCAAAAAGACAGAAGAAAAGAGGAATATTTCCAAAAGTTGCAACCAATATAATGAGAGCTTGGCTGTTTCAGCATTTAACCGTAAGCAAACACTTTTTGTTTCATTTATAAAACCACGAAACCATATACAATGTTGTTTGGACACTTGAATTTTACTTGGATTTGTTTCTTACGAAAGAAAAATCTGACTACAAGCTGTATATATAACATAATTTGTATATGTAATAAAGTGTGTAAGGGGAAGCCAGGTATCCTCTTAAAATTAGAGTTGAGGAACACGAGGAAATTATATCCAAATGTGAGTTGGAAATCCTGATATGACATAGTATAATAAAGTTCAAATAATTGACAAGGAGCATTATGAGTGTCATAAATTAGGCTTGTATGATTTGGTTTTCTTTGCTTAGGCAATTTGATATATTTTAGGATTACCTGGATACTTTTGTACCTGAAAATGTGGAATACTATGGTTTAGCTAGAAGGTATATTAATAAACAATTTCTTCAACTAGATTTTTTTAACGTATTTTCCATTGTTGTTACGGATTGCACCTGACATAGATTAAATAATGGATCAGCCAAAATGTGTTAACAACAGCAAGCCTAAATGGAGAGATTATCCAAGTGTCTAAACCATATTCGGAATTGCAGGCAACATACCACGAAATCGTGTTTTCTCTTTTCTTCTCTGCATTGGATTTTTTTAAAATGCTGATTAAAGAAAAGTTCACTTTGCATTGATAATTTTTGCATAAAAATAAATTAAGCTTGAGATATATAATCACACAAATGTTTACTTAACTGTCCTTACTGGGTTTTCACTCGTAAGTGGTTTGATTATAAACTTCGACCGCTTTCCTTATCGAAAACTTTATACGAATATATAGTTAGCAGATGTGGACTTCAAAAGATAGGTAACTGAACCATGCTTCACCGTGAAAATCCTTCGTGGCTGACCGATCTTAAGAGACACCAGGCATACGGTGATTTCCCCCTACATAAGCGGGACGCAGGTTCTAATTCTGCCGAAGAGCACATTTTATTACAGATTCTTGAAAAGTTCAAACCGTTAAATGAAAATTATAGTGTTAAAAAAACACATATCTACTCAAACATATTTCTAACAATTCATTTTTTTTCTCGGCGACATGATTTTTTTCAAATTAAACTTTCTTTTATGTAATTAAATATGATTTTTTTCTTACTAAATCTTTTTTGTTTTGGACATCTATTGTAATGGAGAAATAATAGTTTACTACAGCACAACGCCAAATGTTAGGAAGAAAACTGTATTTCGCCAATGTGGAGAAATATCTAACCGTACTGAAAATCACCTAATTCGATATTCTTAATTTTATAGCGGTTGAAATACTTGCATTAGGGAAAGATATTCGACTGGCTAACCTGTCAAGAATGTTTCGAAAATAATATTTATAAAAAAAAAATAATTGAATTTTCAACGTTGGCACAGTTTTCATCAAGATCGAAGATTCTTACAAGAGCAAGAAAAATTCCGAATCAGTTTTAATTGATTCACCCCCCCCCCCTCAACGCCTGCTCATACACACCGTCTTTTCATTCTAATATGAAATTCGTCATATGATGGAGCACTTTCATATTTTTAATTTTAATTTTCCATCTTTCTCTCCCCTTATCCCTGTCTTTCTCTCCCCTTATCCCTGTCTTTCTCTCCCCTTGGCCCTGTCTTTCTCAGCCCTGTCTTTCTATCCCCTTGGCCCTGTCTTTCTCAGCCCTGTCTTTCTCCCCTCCTTGGCCTTTCTCAGCCCTGTCTTTCTCCCCCCCCTTGGCCATGTCTTTCTCAGCCCTGTCTTTCTCCCCCCTTGGCCTGTCTTTCTCAGCCTGTCTTTCTCCCCCCACCCTTGGCCCTGTCTTTCTCAGCCCTGTCTTTCTCCCCCCTTGGCCCTTTCTCAGCCCTGTCTTTCTCCCCCCTTGGTCCCTGTCTTTCTCAGCCCTTTCACCCCCTTGGCCCTGTCTTTCTCAGCCCTGTCTTTCTCCCCCCCTTGGCCCTGTCTTTCTCAGCCCTGTCTTTCTCCCCCCCCCCTGTTTTTTTCTCAGCCCTGTCTTTCTCCCCCCCCCCCTTGGCCTGTCTTTCTCAGCCCTGTCTTTCTCCCCCCTGGCCCTGTCTTTCTCAGCCCTGTCTTTCTCCCCCCCTTGGCCCTTTCTCAGCCCTGTCTTCCCCCCCCCGGCCCTGTCTTTCTCAGCCCTGTCTTTCTCCACCCCCTTGGCCCTGTCTTTCTCAGCCCTGTCTTTCTCTCCACTTAGCCCTATCTTTCTCTCGGGAATCGGTGGTAAATAGATAGATTCATACCTTGCGCAGTGAAGTGAACACAAATTGTCTCTGCTGGAATTCTATTTTTTTGTGCTGTTTACCGTTATTCCACCCACACCTCCTGCAAAGAATAACTTCACAAAAATGAAACTTATGATATTAAAATTAAGTGAATAGAAACTTTTTAATCAGTATAGAATGTTTTATTTACTCTATTTGGAATTGTTCGGACTGTTATCCTCATCTTTGTGGCCATATTCACGTTGTTTCGGCCGTTGTACGGTCCGGCCTTCTTTAGGTGACTGGAATTTAGAACTGAACCCTTTATTTCGTCCACCGGGGTAGATTGTTATAGTTCCACGTGCCATGCCTCTTCCTCGTCTCGTTATCGGTTATCTCATTTTAACTCAACTAAGTTTTTTGTTCACCTGAGCTGTAGGTAGATATGGAACTCAGAACTCTTTGGGTTAAGTAAATGGATTCACCCAACGTTTTTATCCAGTGAACTGTGTGTTCTCAAGGACACATGGCCCAATGGGTAAAGGATTCAGTTAGAAATTCCAATCAGCTGAAGAAGGCCGGAGAGTACGTAATGAATATGGCAACGAAGATGCGGACAACAATCTGAACAATATAATTCTGATTAATTCTTTAGTGTATTTTCTGATTTTCGTATAAGTTGATGCATATTTGGGACAATTTTTTTCGATATCTCGGTCATTATCAGGAACTAAATGCCGTCACTATTGCAGACAAGAGTTTTTATTAGTTCATTTTGACATTTTTGGAACGTTACAATCCACATTCAAATATACGTGTATCGTATAAATTATGTCACTTGTAGAACGGTTTCACAAAATTTAGCGCCAGAAACGAAAATTTTAAGTATTTTATACATGTTATAATTTTAAAAAGGTATTTTGATTAATGTGAGTTGTGTCTTTTGTACAATTATCGCTTCGATTATAGTGTCTTTATTTAGCGTCTACTGAATAATATTTTGGTATTATCTAATATCTATGGTATGATAATAGTTGTAATTTGATTGTGATGTAATGATCGATATATACATGAATTGTACTAAGTTTCAGTAAGTGACATGTTAACCTTCGATGGATTGTCGTGCTTGTGTAACCAATGTAAGAATTAAATGTCTTATGATTATTTGTATTTATTTTTACCGAAATATATCACAGAGAAAAATGCTTTAACCAAGCTTAGTTTACTCATGCTGTAAGTCACAGAAAACGTTACTGGGTTTTGGGATCAGTACCCCTGTGAATTTTCTTTTTTTTTTTTTTTTTTTTTTTGGTAGAGGAGATTGGATCACTGGCGGATAAAATATTGCAAAATTTCATGTTGCGTAATACACTAGTATCAGGTACAGTAAATGTGTTAGTACATTGGTGGTTCAGATCGGCTCTTAGAAAATTCGTCAGTGGCCGTGCTGTAAAAGTTTCTGGGTATGTTATATACTTATATATTCTCCTAATGAAGAATGCTGTTTCGATTCTTTTTTTCATCTACACGATTTGGAATCTTTTGTATAATTTACGTAGATCAATCAGCAAAACTCAAAATGTATCCTGATATTTTCAGTTTGACCCCCATCGAATCTCCTAAGGTTATCTCTTTTAGTGCGTAAATTCAGAATATTCCTGGATGACAAGTATATGGCTGTTGGGGGCAGAGTAACTGCTATTAAGGTCTTAAGCTTACTGAGCTGGTGCTTTTGACGACTAGTAATTGGATGGGAAGGGGTCAGCAGTTAGGGAGTGATCCACAGACAAGGCGCCGGAACAATTGGCACAACTGCGCATGCGTGCACGTTGCAGAAAGTGACAGAAAGAATGTAGGAGTAAGTGAATAGAAGAGAGGAGTGAACTCTCTTGCACATTACTTGAATTTTTACATGAGAATAGTTACTAGATTCAAAACAACGGGCCAGGCAGAAGAGAGACACGTGGAATCTAGGAAGTATTAGGATGCTGTATAAAACAGTTGAAGGGGCAGTGGGGCATGGAAGGGTAAAAAATTTATGCATTAAAGAACAGATTGGTTGTTGGCTTAGAACTGAAAAGTGAATGCGGACGAAGGGAAAAAAAAGAGGAGGAGTCACTGTTAATTTATGCGTATCAAGGATGATTCGATCAGAACTACCGAAGAAGATAACTTTGTTGAAGACGTGGACTTGATTCTATTTAACCTATTTATTTCTTTTAACATCTGAAGTTGCTAAAATATATTTAAAAAACAAACTTAGTTTACATCAGGATTTTCTCACCTGATCAATTAAATATTTTCTTATATAAATGTATTAAATATTTACTATCCCCTCACTGATAATGGCCATGATATTTAAATCTAAAAATATATGAACCCTGTTTTTTTTCTTTATTTTTAACACAAAAAATTATGTCAAGGTATGTATTTTATCTGATATTGATACTCATTATTATTTAGTTACTTTCACTGGATACTAAGTTTCTATAATGCTTCAGTATTCTCACTAGTATTATTCATTAAAATTATTTTATTGAATTTTCACACCAGAAAATTATCAGCTTCTAACGGAGATGATGCGACGAAAGTCTCCTCAATTTTCACTATTCTTATTTTAATGACGCTGTCTTCTGTATAAATTCGATTCTACCAATATTTTTGTGAGGCTTTTCATGATTGTTACAAGTACACCAATAATAATACACAAAACTGGTAAATTTGTTCATTTATTATATATATATATAACTTTTTCTCTCCTACCTTTTTTCTTTTTCATTCCTATCTCTTTTTTCGTGCCTTTCTCTCTCTCTCTTTTTTCGTGCCTTTCTCTCTCTCTCTTTTTTCGTGCCTTTCTCTCTCTCTCTTTTTTCGTGCCTTTCTCTCTCTCTCTTTTTTCGTGCCTTTCTCTCTCTCTCTTTTTTCGTGCCTTTCTCTCTCTCTCTTTTTTGCCTTTCTCTCTCTCTCTCTTTTTTTCGTGCCTTTCTCTCTCTCTCTTTTTTCGTGCCTTTCTCTCTCTCTCTTTTTTAGTGCCTTTCTCTCTCTCTCTTTTTTCGTGCCTTTCTCTCTCTCTCTCTTTTTCGTGCCTTTCTCTCTCTCTCTCTTTTTTCGTGCCTTTCTCTCTCTCTCTCTTTTTTCGTGCCTTTCTCTCTCTCTTTTTTTGCCTTTTCTCTCTCTTTTTCGTGCCTTTCTCTCTCTTTTTTTCGTGCCTTTCTCTCTCTCTTTTTTCGTGCCCTTTCTCTCTCTCTCTCTCTTTTTTTGCCTTTTTCTCTCTCTCTCTCTTTTTTCGTGCCTTTCTCTCTCTCTCTTTTTTCGTGCCTTTCTCTCTCTCTCTTTTTTCGTGCCTTTCTCTCTCTCTCTTTTTTCGTGCCTTTCTCTCTCTCTCTTTTTTTTTTCGTGCCTTTCTCTCTCTTTTTTTGCCTTTCTCTCTCTCTTTTTTCGTGCCTTTTCTCTCTCTCTTTTTTTCGTGCCTTTTCTCTCTCTCTTTTTCGTGCCTTTCTCTCTCTCTCTTTTTCGTGCCTTTCTCTCTCTCTCTTTTTTCGTGCCTTTTCTCTCTCTCTCTTTTTCGTGCCTTTCTCTCTCTCTTTTTTCGTGCCTTTTCTCTCTCTCTTTTTTTGCCTTTCTCTCTCTCTCTTTTTTTGCCTTTCTCTCTCTCTTTTTTCGTGCCTTTCTCTCTCTCTCTTTTTTCGTGCCTTTCTCTCTCTCTCTTTTCGTGCCTTTCTCTCTCTCTTTTTTCGTGCCTTTCTCTCTCTCTCTTTTTTCATTGCCTTTCTCTCTCTCTTTTTTCTCCTTTCTCTCTCTCTCTCTTTTCTCGCCTTTCTCTCTCTCTCTCTCTTTTCTCTCCTTTCTCTCTCTCTCTTTCTCGCCTTTCTCTCTTTTCTCGCCTTTCTCTCTCTTTTTTCGCCTTTCTCTCTCTTTTTTTTTTCTCTTTCTCTCTCTCTCTTTTCGCGCCTTTCTCTCTCTCTTTTTCTCTCTCTCTCTCTCTCTCTTTTTGCCTTTCTCTCTCTCTCTCTTTTTCGCGCCTTTCTCTCTCTCTCTCTCTTTTTTCGCGCCTTTCTCTCTCTCTCTCTTTTTTCGCGCCTTTCTCTCTCTCTCTCTCTTTTCGTGCCTTTCTCTCTCTCTCTCTTTTTTCGTGCCTTTCTCTCTCTCTCTCTATTTTCGTGCCTTCGTCTCTCTCTCTTTTTTTCGTCTCTGTCTCTCGATCTCGCTTTCGCGCCTTTGTCTCTTTCGCTTTTTCTCTTCCCCTCTATTTTGTCTGTCTGCCTTTCTCTCATGCTCTCTCACTTCCATAATATCTTTTTTTCACCCTCTCTTCTGCTTTTATTAGGCTCTGTTTTCGCCTTTATTTTCCTTTTTCTCAATTTCTTTTTCTTTTCACATATAGCTTGTTATTGCTGGATCTTGACTGTCAATAAGTCTCCTGAGATCTCCAGCACCTTACTCAGCGTCCTCCAATATATTCTTTGAAATTCTATATTTGGTCACATGGAACAACATTAATGTCCTCATTTCTCGCATTTTTTGTGCTTTCGCTGATAAATTGCTGTTACCCCATAAAGACCAAATAATTAAATAGAATTTATTATAATAATCAATAAACCTAATTGATAATCTTTTTAATGCTTTCCTGTGCATTTACAACTGTTGTTTAAATTTACATAATCGTCAAAATGGACTATCTTATCACCAGTATAATTGAGAACATTAAGAAATAAACACGTTCATGAGATAAAATTATCGATAGCAATAGCCATGAGATCGATAAGAAGGCCATTGTATTTTAGTACTGACCGCTTACATGATCCCATTTCACTTTTCTCATAGAAAGAGATAGAAATAAACTGAACGTACTTTTGTAGCCTAAATGTACCGAATCTACTGATCATTCTTCGTTTTATTGGAGTCAATGCGTTCGTTCGATCGATCGATGCGGGTAATAATATATTGCACGCAATTACAAATATAAAGAAGTACATTAAAATCTTCAGCTTTTAGTCTGATAGATAATTTTTGGTATTATCAGTGCAGATTTCACGAATGAGAAATTGTCAGGAGATGATAGTACCTTGTTAGAGTATTACTGCATACTCCACAGATATTATTTTCATCTTTTATGGTTTTTTTCTGAAATACGTTAATACAATATTGGAATAAATATTTAGAATAGAACGAAAATATATTTAATGACACCATCTTTCATCAGCGCAATTTCGAAACAGTCTTTTTTCTTTTAATTATATCCTTCTATTTATATATTCCACCACCACTTAACTAATGGTTTATCATATTTTTTCTTTCTGTATTTCGTCGCTCGCTCTGTCTATTTCGTCGCTCGCTCTGTCTATTTCGTCGCTCGCTCTGTCTATTTCGTCGCTCGCTCTGTCTATTTCGTCGCTCGCTCTGTCTATTTCGTCGATCGCTCTGTCCCTCTCTCAACGTCGTCGATCGCTCTCTATCTCTCTCTACGTCGTCGATCGCTCTCTATCTCTCTCTACGTCGTCGATCGCTCTCTATCTCTCTCTACGTCGTCGATCGCTCTGTCCCTCTCTCTACGTCGTCGATCGCTCTCTATCTCTCTCACGTCGTCGATCGCTCTGTCTCTCTCTCTACGTCGTCGATCGCTCTCTATCTCTCTCTACGTCGTCGATCGCTCTCTATCTCTCTCTACGTCGTCGATCGCTCTCTATCTCTCTCTACGTCGTCGATCGCTCTCTATCTCTCTCTACGTCGTCGATCGCTCTCTATCTCTCTCTACGTCGTCGATCGCTCTCTATCTCTCTCTACGTCGTCGATCGCTCTCTCTCTACGTCGTCGATCGCTCTCTCTCTGTCGTCGATCGCTCTCTCTCTGTCGTCGATCGCTCTCTCTGTCGTCGATCGCTCTCTCTGTCGTCGATCGCTCTCTCTGTCGTCGATCGCTCTCTCTGTCGTCGATCGCTCTCTCTGTCGTCGATCGCTCTCTCTCTGTCGTCGATCTCTCTCTCTGTCGTCGTCTCTCTCTCTCTACGTCGTCGATCTCTCTCTCTCTACGTCGTCGATCTCTCTTTTTCTACGTCGTCGATCGCTCTCTCTCTCTACGTCGTCGATCGCTCTCTCCTTCTACGTCGTCGATCGCTTTCTCTCCTTCTACGTCGTCGATCGCTCTCTCCTTCTACGTCGTCGATCGCTCTCTCCTTCTACGTCGTCGATCGCTCTCCTTCTACGTCGTCGATCGCTCTCTCCTTCTACGTCGTCGATCGCTCTCTCCTTCTACGTCGTCGATCGCTCTCTCCTTCTACGTCGTCGATCGCTCTCTCTCTCTCCTTCTACGTCGTCGATCGCTCTCTCTCTCTCTCTCTCCTTCTACGTCGTCGATCGCTCGCTCTCTCTCTCTCTCTCTCTAGGTCGTCGATCTCTCTCTAGGTCGTCGATCGCTGGCTCTCTACGTCTAGGTCGTCGATCGCTCTCTCTCTCTCTCTAGGGTCGTCGATCGCTGGCTCTCTCTCTCTCTCTCTAGGTCGTCGATCGCTGGCTCTCTCTCTCTCTAGGTCGTCGATCGCTGTGTCTCTCTCTCTCTCTAGGTCGTCGATCGCTGTCTCTCTCTCTCTCTCTAGGTCGTCGATCGCTGTGTCTCTCTCTCTCTCTAGGTCGTCGATCGCTGTGTCTCTCTCTCTCTCTCTAGGTCGTCGATCGCTGTGTCTCTCTCTCTCTCTAGGTCGTCGATCGCTGTCTCTCTCTCTCTCTAGGTCGTCGTCCTGTGTCTCTCTCTCTCTAGGTCGTCGATCGCTCTCCTCTCTCTCTAGGTCGTCGATCGCTGTGTCTCTCTCTCTCTCTCTCGGTCGTCGATCGCTGTGTCTCTCTCTCTCTAGGTCGTCCGATCGCTGTGTGTCTCTCTCTCTCTAGGTCGTCGATCGCTGTGTCTCTCTCTCTCTCTAGGTCGTCGATCGCTGTGTCTCTCTCTCTCTCTAGGTCGTCGATCGCTGTCTCTCTCTCTCTAGGTCGTCGATCGCTGTCTCTCTCTCTCTAGGTCGTCGATCGCTGGCTCTCTCTCTCTAGGTCGTCGATCGCTGGCTCTCTCTCTCTCTCGCTCTCTCTCTAGGTCGTCGATCGCTGGCTCTCTCTCTCTCTCGCTCTCTCTCTCTCTCTCTAGGTCGTCGATCGCTGGCTCTCTCTCTCTAGGTCGTCGATCGCTGGCTCTCTTTCTCTATCGATCTATTTCGCCGATCGTTCTTACTCTGGATTTTCACTTTTTTCTCTACCTCCTACTTTTACCCTTCTTTCTCTTGCCTTTACCTCTCTCTCTTGACAGACGTCTCTCCCTCTCTCTCTTGCCCGTTTTATCTCCCTCTCTCTTGCCCGTTTTATCTCCCTCTCTCTCTCTTGCCCGTTTTATCTCCCTCTCTCTCTCTTGCCCGTTTTATCTCCCTCTCTCTCTCTTGCCCGTTTTATCTCCCCTCTCTCTCTTGCCCGTTTTATCTCCCTCTCTCTCTCTTGCCCGTTTTATCTCCCTCTCTCTCTCTTGCCCGTTTTATCTCCCTCTCTCCTGCCTTTACCTCCTTTTCTCTCCCCATCTCTATTTCTCTCTCTCGTCTCTCTCTCTCTCTCGTCTCTCTCTCTCTCTCGTCTCTCTCTCTCTTTCGTCTCTCTCTCTCTCTCGTCTCTCTCTCTCTCTCGTCTCTCTCTCTCTCGTCTCTCTCTCTCTCTCTCTCTCTCTCGTCTCTCTCTCTCTCTCTCTCTCTCTCTCGTCTATTTCTCTCTCTCTCTCTCGTCTCTATCTCTCTCTCTCTCTCGTCTATTTCTCTCTCTCTCTCGTCTATTTTTCTGCTCTTTATCACTTACATTTTTGCTTCTGTTTCCTCTTTGCTATTGTCATTGTCGACTATATAGCCACTCTCCCTCATGTCTCTCATTATTTTTATTATTCAAAATAATAAATTTAATAATATACGTGGTCAGATTTTCTAAAAGCTTTTCATTCATAAAGTGCCATTTTCATGTAAATTTAGAAAATAAAGGAGAAATGAATTCTTATTTTTGTTTGCCATACTTTCCCACTAAGCTGTAAGAAAAATCCGTGCAATCTTCTTATAGTTTTGAAAGAAAATTACTGTGGAGGGGAAGACATTTCCAGAGTTTCTTCTAATCACTGACTAACCAGCTACAAAATTTAAAATAAAAAAAAGTTTTTTTGTTTTTTTTTTTAAATCGATATGGAAATAGTTGTCTCTGAACTGTCCCTATGATCGCATCTGTTGGTGATCTTAGACCAAAATTACCTGTCAGTTTGAGATGCAACGCCATCTTTCTCCCGCCACCCTGCATCAACTATATCACCCATCCACCCTCGACTTGTTCTGTCTTCAGTGCTGTCTTCCCAGTTGCAAAGTTGTCTCCTCTCCCCACAACTACCTAGCCTTTCTGTCTTACATCGTCTTTTGGTGCCTGAGTGCATTGTTCGCAGGATTTAAACCAAAAATGGCTACCGGATTAGACCACCTCTGAGTCACTTCTTCTCCTTTCGTTGATTGATGAATGAGTGGTGGGAGAGTGGCGATATCCTGAAAAGAGAGCAGCAGTGATTGTGGCGCGAAATCTTTTGTACTACGAGTACGATTGATTGATTGGTTGGTTGGTTGGTTGGTTGGTTGTAATAATATTAGTAATGGTAGGTGATATTAATATTTTTTACTATCACCGGCACAGCTCAATTATTTTGTTAATAATAAAATTAATTATAATAATATAATTTAAGCCAGTTTAAAATTATATCGGTAACAATTTCTTTTGTATTTTTAAAATATTTAATTGTCGAAACGTTTCTTGTCTCTCCCTCTCTCTCCACACACACATGTGTGTCTGAACTAGTGTCCGTATCATTGTGCACAAACCATGTCAGGCTATGTCTAGTTGAAGCTGAAAAAAAACGATTGCAATTCTCATAGAAATTAGAAGGCAATATAAAGTAGCTAAAGATAGTGTTCAATAAAGTGAACATCAGCAAACATAATTGTGGAGAAATGCACATCGTTGGGCCGTTTTGTGGTTTATTCCGATTTTTTAAGAACCTCTTTAATAATAAATAAGGTAATATCAGAAAGAGTAAAACATTATTAAACATTATTTCCCTCGCGAATAAATATTTGACTACAATGACAGCATTAAATCTTTCCATACATGTTTAGATTGTTAACGCAACTGGAATCAAATCTATCATATCGTCGTTCAGTGGGCAAATATTATGTACGTATAATACGTAGGACATGGGATACAGAAAAAGAAAACAAGTTTTAATTTTGTTTCACAGGATAATTTAACACCAGCAATATATTCGCAAGTTGCAATGGTTAACATGATATTAATATGGATATATTTTTTGTTTTTCATTTAATTAATTATCTTAACTTAACTTCTAAATTTCTGTCGCAGTTAACGGGTTAAAAATTATTTTTATTAAAGAAAAAAATTTAAAAACATTTAGCCAAAACATTGTGGCAGCAACATCAAAAATAAAGAACTTTAATTACCTGAATAAATTTTGAACTTGAGAAAAAAAAAGAACTAAAAATTAAACGGAAGTTTCTTTACATTAAAGTAAGCTGTTTAACTGATCGTTCGGAGTTTGATAAAGCTCATCAGTTCAAAAGCTGTTACACTTATAATGGCTTATATTAAAATTGTTTGCATACTTGAGGAAGACTATAGTATATATTGAATGTGGCATGCACACAAAATACCAAGATTAATTTTAGGGAGAAAAAAACAATGGCAAAATGGGGAAAGTTTTTGTGCAACGTGTTTTGTCGGGCGAAAGTGATGCTTACGTTGATGTGACTGCATGTGTGCACGAAGGAGAGGTGACGCTGGGAATTTGAATATTTTGTAATGTATGTTTTGCGTATATAGCCTCACCGATTTCTTTTAGTTTCTTTTTATCACTTTTTCTATAAAATATCCCACGTTGTGATAATAGAAGATTCAACAAAACAAAAAGTTCATCAAATATTTAAAAATAGAAGATTGAACTTTGACAAACTCAACGAATCAAAATATATAGTTCTACTCACCACTACTACAAATGAAAGACATTATCTTAGCTTAACATAAACTGTGTTAAAACTTCTTTTAAAAGACTCAATACAAAACACAATAATAAGCCAAAATTTGAAGGAGGAATTTACTCTATCACCTGTAATAACTGTCAGAAGAAATACATAGGAGAAACCTCAGGAAATTTAAATAAAAGGTTATATGAACACGAAAGGGATATTTTACAAAACAACACACTAAATGCATTAGCTGTTCACGATAATGAATCTGACCATATGTTTGTTTTAAATATATATATATATATATATATATATATATATATATATTAATTAAGTAAAATCAATTTATTGTGAAGAAAATGTATTTAATCGCTGGTACATCCACAAACATTACCTACAGGTTCTAACAACATTTCACATTTCTTGGCATCACATTTATCAATATTATATAACAAATGTGACGGAAATAGAAACAAAAAGGAACTCTAAATGAAATTGGCTAAACTATATACTCAAATATATATATATATATAGAGAGAGAGAGAGAGAAAGATTTAAAAAGAGATTTAAATTAAAAATTCTCAGCGTCTCCTTTCATTCATGCGTAGTTGCATGTACGTAAACATCATTTTAATTCGATGAAGTCTTAAAGGACGAAACGCGTCACACGAAAACGTTTCTCATTTTCTCATTTTTTTCTTTAAAATTATTCTTTATATATAAAAATTGATATATCGTTCTCCCAGATATATATATATATATATATATATATATATTTTTATATACAGTTTTTTATTTTATTTTTGATGAGATACTAAAACGTTATTAGCTCAATCAATAATTTTTAAAGTTTTGTTGTTTTGTTAGATTTTATTATGTGGATCGGGTCGAGAACTTTTCAACAACTCCTTCTATTTTCTATTATGTGCCGTTGTCGATTATGGATCTCCACAATTTCCTGTTCTTTATGGTTCTTGGTAAATTTTGTCTTTTTGTTATATTTCCTAAACCTTGTTCTGTCATCCGTTTACTTAAACTTGCCAGGTAGGTCATGCGTTGTTTCCCCTCTGTCCTGTGAATATCAAATTTCCCAAACCCTCTTTCCTCATGTCAACTGTCTGTTTCTGTTTTTAAATATAAGTGTCCTTTTTGTTTCCATTGTCTCTAGAACTTCGTCGTTGCTCACATGTTCGGTCCATGTTATTCTCAGCGTCCTACTGAAGAATCATATTTCTGTTGCTTCAAGTCTCTTCTTCATCTGAGAAGATTGTCCAGTATTCACTGCCATATAGGAGGACTGATATTACGTAACAGTTCAGTACTCTTTCATTTATTTTAAAATTTTTCTGTTTCTTAATACGTTTTTTTTATTTTACCCTATGTATATTTTTCAGATTTAGGAAATAATACATGGAGAATGTTGTTTGTTTATGTGTCTGTCCTGAATCTTTTCCAAAATTTCTATGGAACTGAAGAAACTAATAAATCTTTCTACTTACAATTTAATTTGATATTTTATACATCTTCCGTGTTTCACGGGTCATTCTACATGTCTTTTGGAATCACTTCACAGTAAATAACCTAATTTTCTATCATTTGACGAATTCAGTTCACCCCTTAAATTCTCCGAATTTTTTGTATTACCTACCGAAGCAATTACGGATATTTCTAACGGAGCAATCACTAATGTTCGATCTTTCTAACCAATATTTCATGACGGGGTTGTCTAAATACAAGTTTCTGATAAAAGGAGATAGTGACGTAAATTCACCAACTTTAGCGAAAAATCATTTTTATGGAGTTCTTATTGAAAAAGGAAAATATCAACTGTGAGTAATAGCTTTAACCATGATACCATCGCAAGAATCAAATTTGAACAAGTTTCTCACAACTGTCAATCATTGATTTTTATTTCTTTTACCTTTTAGTAGCATGATTTTTTGTAAAGAAATTTAAATATATTTATTCTTATATTTAATAAAATACCAAACATTACTTTTGTAGTACGTTAAACGTATTATTTAATGGAATTTTTTATTTCACTTTAATTGGATTAAGTATATACATGTACCTATATATGTGTCCATGTCAGTCTTTATATTAAATTTTTAGGCCAAAATTAGGGGGATAATTTATACACGAATAAGTTTTATTGGGCCAAATCTAAAGCATTGCACGATAAATAAGACAAGGAGCAACTCTTCCTTTCAGACATGGAAATTATTTAGCAATTACTCTAGCACATGTATTACAATAATTTTCTGTCATAATTAAATTGGCTATATAAAATATATTAAAGCTTGCTAGTGCGTTTCATTGAAAAGTTTAATCAATGATAATATGCTTTGGCAATCAGTATTTTAATCTTTAGGGCGTGGGTATGGTTTAGTGGAATTTTGAAACTCGTTTTAAATGCCTTTAAATTGTGTTTTTTTTTCTTTCGTTATCATGATAAACTGGGGGCATGTAATGATTTGTGGTCGCATATCAGAAGTCGATCTATAAAATGATAGACCTATATACTATTACATACGAAATCGAGATCCTTTTAAGAAGGAAAATATTTACTATTCGCTATAAAATTAGACCAAAACTGTTCTTATATATATATATATATATATATATATATATATATATATATATAAAGAAATATAGTCTTAAGGTGTGCTATATTTATGGGATAAAGTGCTCAATATCAGAGATAGAGCGTGTGTAAATATAAAATGCAATCGTCAGGCTTGACGATTGCATATTTCATGAAACAGACTGTCGCCTGACAAGTGTATGACTTCATGTTGTTTTTATATTTATATATATATATATATATGAATAGAAATGACAATGAAAACTGGTAATTGCTGACGCTTTTCGTCCAATGTGGACTT